GCCTGCCCCCCAGCCTCTCTATCAGCAGCATCCCCTGGGTGAGCTGGAGACCAGAGTCCAGAGCTGGCAGCGGGTCCAGCACAGCCTCTCCAGGCTTCCCGATGCCCCCAGGGCTCCCTGACCCCCAGACTCCCTTCCCAGGCAGCCTCTCCCTCACGCCTCCTCACCCCCCAGCTCTGGGTGATGAAAGGGTTTGGTGCAAAATTCGTTGGGGAGAAAAACAGGAAGTGGCCCTGACAGCCGCCTGCAGAAGCTGCCTGCCGGGCAGCAGCAGTGGCAGCCTTACAGGAAAGTGGTGAGGGGGCAGCCCCAGCCGGGCTGCGGGGGCGGCAGGGAGAGTCCAGCGTGGGACCCTTTGGCCAAATGGGGCTTTATTTTTAGACCAAACATCACACCTGCCTCCTGCTCTGTACACCTCCTCTCACTCTCACAGCAGCGCCTCAAGGTTAGTAGGTGACCCATTGTACCCATTGTACAGATGAGCAAGTAGAGCTGAGACGCTGAGGCCAACGGCCTTTCCCACGGCTGGGCCTGACGCCTGGATTCGTTCTCAGACTCCGATGGCTATTTGTGGTGTGTTTTTGTTCTGGTGTGAGCGCATGGGTGAGGGCGGCCGGAGCGGAGGGCTGCTCTGGCCCCTTGGGCTCAGCACCTCTGAGCTGGTGGAGGGGGAGCGGGTGGCAGCCCAGGGCCTGTCCCCTGGGGCTCCTGGGATGTGTGACCTGGAAGGACCTCGCTGGGAACCGGGACGGGAGGGCGCCCACCCCTCAGTATTTATGACCTCACCTGGCTGATGGGCCAAAGGACTCAGAACTCAGGTAAGTCAGAACCCCCTTCCCTCTCAGGCCTGGAACTGGGGGAACCCCAATCCCAGAGCATCATGCCCGAGAGGCATCACTGAATGAGAAGAAGAGGGGGACTCCAGTGGCCCCCTGAAGGCCGCTCCCCGCCAGGCCCAAGCCTCACCTGGACCCTGGCTGCCCCACCCTCACCCTCGGCTCAATCCGCTCCCCGGGGACCCATCACAGCATGCAAACCAGGGTTCGTTCTCCTTCAGAGCCCCCAGCCTCTCCGTCCTGGGGCTCCTGAGACCTGAGGCCTCTGTGGCAGGGGCTGGGAACCGGGACGGGAGGGCGCCCACCCCTCAGTATTTATGACCTCACCTGGCTGATGGGCCAAAGGACTCAGAACTCAGGTAAGTCAGAACCCCCTTCCCTCTCAGGCCTGGAACTGGGGGAACCCCAATCCCAGAGCATCATGCCCGAGAGGCATCACTGAATGAGAAGAAGAGGGGGACTCCAGTGGCCCCCTGAAGGCCGCTCCCCGCCAGGCCCAAGCCTCACCTGGACCCTGGCTGCCCCACCCTCACCCTCGGCTCAATCCGCTCCCCGGGGACCCATCACAGCATGCAAACCAGGGTTCGTTCTCCTTCAGAGCCCCCAGCCTCTCCGTCCTGGGGCTCCTGAGACCTGAGGCCTCTGTGGCAGGGGTGGGGGTGTCACCCTATCACCCAGGTTCCTCAGGCCTTGACCCACCCTGTGCCCCAGCCCCTTAGCTGCCCAGGTCTACTTCCTGACCATCACCCTCACCTCCAAGTGACCTCTGGGCATCCCCCCAACTTTCACAGAGTCTCCCAGTCCTGACCACCCTCAGAAGGCAGCTGCCCACATGGTCCTGAGGTTGAAGCCGCAGTGTTGTGCTGGCCTTCCCTCACCCACCACCCGCCACCACGCCATCCTCCGGCCATGACAGGGCACCTTCCCTAGACGCCTCTGGGGGCCTTCAGGCCACAGCGGAGGCCCGTGGGGCCAGAAGGCCGGGTGGGGCCAGGACGGGAGGCCTCGGCGGTGCCTCAGCTGCTTGTGGGGCGGGTGGTCTTTGCCTCCACGCGCTCTCAGGGGGGCTGCTGGGCTGCAGAACCAGAAGTGGTGTCCCCTCCTCCCTCTGCCCTGCTTGGGTAGCGCCCCCTCAGCACTGAGCAGCACCAGGGGCCAGCAGGAGGCAGATGCAGGGGGGCGGGGGGCGGAGGTGGAGTGGGGGAAGCCTGGTCTCCTTTCTTCTGTGGGGGAGACTCGGCCCCTGGTCCCAGCCACTGTCCTATGAAAGCGAACCCTAAAAATGACTTGATAAAAGTGAAGTGCTTAGAAAAGGGCTGGCCCTTAGTGAGGGCTCCATACATGTTTATCACCATCATCTAATCCTCGACTGCAATGCTTACAACCAGCCTGCGAGGGCAGTAGTATGCGCCCACTTCACAGGTGAGAAAACTGAAGCAGAGGCGAAGCCACGTGGTAACGTCACAGAGCAGCAGTGGCTGCACAGGGATTTGAGCCTGAGTCTGTTGGAAGCTTGTGCTCTGCACTGGCTGGGCTGGGGGGCTGCACCCTGGACCTGCCGCCCAGCCCACCTGCTCCCCAGCTCCCGCTCGCCCAACCTCTGGGGCCTCGGGGTTTAGCTGCAGGG